CTTTCCATGGTGTACCCCGCCTTCGCCCGATTGCCGGCTGGGATTGGCTCGCGTGACCCCGTTCAGGGAATAAGCGGTAAAAAATGAATGATTAAACATATACTTCAAGTATGTCAGATATCATACATGTATCCTACAGTACCTGTCTACATAACAAAATTAATAAATAACATGTACTTCATTTCCTACCTTGTCACTATACTTAATTTCCTTCTTGGGAATGTTTACATTTAATTAAGCACTGCAACTAAGATAGCCATTTACAAAAAGAAAAAATATATTCATAATATAGTACCATATTTCTTTAGGGAATCCATTATCCTTTATAATGTCAGCTCAATCTGCAGTTATAGTCTTGTGACAACGCACAACCAACAAATATACAAGCCTGGAAAATGCTCACTTGTTGAGCAAAGCAACATTTCTTACAGGTGTGGCCAGCACTCTACTCTCTTGGTGGGTGACATGATGGCAGTCCATACAGTAACCAAGCCAAAGGCAGGGTTTAGAAACTGCTCAAAATTACTTGGCCCTGTTGCAGGTCATGACATGGACACACCTTAGTACAGCCTATTTAAATTGAGCTTCCATGCAAGGAGTGATGAATGAGGCCACTCCATTATGCTTGCTTTCTGTGTAAAATGTCTCAGTCTCAGCCAGTCAGCATAGCACTGAATGTAAAACATGCATGACTGTAATCACATTTTTTCTCCCAAACTGCATTACACTTTACAGGATGATGCTGTATAACATTAATACAGCAGAAGATTTTACTATAATTTTACATAAAAGATTCACAGTTTAGTACATAATGTACAGAAATACATGTCAATACTCTACAAACATTCCACATATGATTAATTAATTTGCAAAACAAACCAAATCAGAAGACTTAAAACAAGCAGGGTTGCTACAGTAACAGGGTAAACAACACAGAGAAAACAGCACTCAGCTGCTCTGTGTAGTGCTACCATAGCAACTGTTAAACAAGAAGCCTGTGGGCAGTCAGAGAAAATGTCAGCTCAGAGAAAGGAAAGAGCAGCTGAGGGGAGCAAGGAGGTTTCGGCAAAGGAGAAGGAAAGGAGGAGAGCTGAGGAGGAGGACTTTGAGGGGGTAATAAGGGAGACTACCTCCACAGCTGCTGCAAGAAGAAAACTACCCAGACAACAAATCATTCTCAACATCCCGGAAGTGGTGGATGACTTCCTGAGGAACTTCCTCCGCAGAGCTTGTATGACCCGAACTCTCAACAGCTTTGAAGTCGAGTGGAACAGCTTGACACAGGTATCCCTGACAGGAACCCTGTCAACGGGAATCTCATTCATCCCTGATGCTCTCACGCACAGGCAGATCCTTCAGAGGGAGCTGGACACAGTCCGCGCAGAAACAGACCTGCTGAGACAGGAGGTGCTGGTGGCAGGGGAGAGTCTGGTGAAGATGCAGCGAGAGAGAGACTTCCATCAGCTGCAGTACCAAAAAGTGGCTGAGGACAAAAATAAGTTGATCAAGGACTTCAAGCAGCTGAAGAAACACCTGGAGTCTTATAAGCCAGCGCTGAGGCAGCTGGACGAAAAATTTCAAACAGCTCTGAGGCAGAAAATGCTTATAAGTTTAGAAAAAGACAAACTTCAAAACACCTCAGAAGCAAGAGAACATCAGGAGATTAAAAACAAGAGCAACAGCCCTGAAAAATCGACAGCAAAAAGTCCCATTAAGAGACACCCAAAAGACTCGGAGTTTCCCATCTGCAGCAGGCAGGTGAACCCTCAGGTGCAATCTCAGAAATGGAAAGACCCCAGCTCCTTCATCCTGTCCTGCTCCATCAGAGCCCACAAGCTTCCCAGCAGCAGCATCAGCCTCCATCCACAAAAAATGATCCTTGCCTCTGCCAGTGATGACCACAGCTGGAGGCTGTGGGCACTGCCGGCCAATGGAGAGAAGGTAAGAGAAATGTGGTCAAGTATGGATGCAAGCCTGTATGGATGAGAGATGAGATGAAATGAGATATAGAATGGGATAATATAAGCTGGATGACATGAAATGTGATAATACAAGACAAAATGAAATACAAGATGATTGAGACATGAGATGGACTGAGAATATCACATAAGACCAGAGACCAGACAAAGGTTATAACAAGAGAAAAAATGAGTCATGTCATTTTGTTGATATTTGAGGGTGACTGATTGGCTCAGGAAGTGTAAGGCGATATTGTCTACCGTGTGTTGCCAGGTTGGTGAGATGATGCTGTCAGGTGCCGGTCACTCTGATTGGTTGTCTGGCTGCAGTTTTCACCCTGATGGATCAAAACTGGCAACTACCAGTGGGGACACCACAGTAAGATCATCTTCATCAAGGCTTCCTTGCTGCAATAGTGTCCAAATGAGATTAAAGTAAAACCCAACATAAATTTTCTTGCTCTTCTCACACTTTCCCTGCTCCTCTTGGATCTCCCTGCAGGTGCGGCTCTGGGATTTCTCTCGTGGCTGCTGCGTGTTGTCACTGACTGGTCACAGCCAGCCCACATGGGGCTGCTCCTTCCACTCCTGCGGTCATTTCCTGGCTTCCTGCTCTGCCGACAGGACCGCCAAGCTATGGGACCTGAACAGCCAGCGTTGTCGCCTCACACTGCGTCGCCACACCGCCTCCATCAACAGTGTCTGCTTCTTGCGTTTCTCCAACTTCCTCCTCACCTGCTCGGCTGACAAAACCCTTGCCCTGTGGGACGCCAGGCTGGGCATTTGCACTACCACCTTCCATGGACACCTGCATCCTTGCAACCACGCTGCAGTCAGCCTGGCTGGTGACACCGTGGCCTCCTGTGACACCTGTGGTGTTGTCAACCTGTGGGACATCAGAAAGCCTGTGTCAGCAACAGCTACTGTAGATGCTGGACCGCTGGCTGCCAACCAGGTGGTGTTCTGCCCATCAGGGAAGATGCTGGCGATTGCCAGCAGTGATGGTTTGGTCAGACTGGTGGAGGTGGATTCCTGTGCAGTGAGGAGCCTGTCAGGACACAGAGATAGTGTGCAGTGCGTGACATTTGATCACACGGGGGAAACTGTGATGTCAGCAGGGAGTGACGGGCTGATTAACATGTGGTCATGACGTAAACATAATGTGAAAAAAAATTTTTTAAATGGAAGTGAAACCGTCTGTTGTTTCAGATGAGGAACAGTTTGGTTTGCTGCCAGTTTGTTGAAAACAGATGAATTTAAGAATTCTTCTTGTCCAAATGCAAAGGCTGATAAAACTTGTAACGAGGCTATAATACCTAAGTTTCACAGTATCTACTACCATCTATCTTTTTAAAGAAATAAACATTTTCTAAAAAAAAACAACTTTCATTTAACAATGCAACAATTTTCATTTTTCAATATTATACTATTATCATTAAAATAAGGAGCTATAAAGAATAAATATTTGAGATCTGTGAACCGTGTGAGAAGCATGTGAACTAACAGGTGGAACGCAGTTTAACCATTATGTGATGATGTCACAAAAGCCTTATAGAGAGTTACCACTTAAAAAAACCAAAACAAAAAAAAAGGAGTTAATAAATAATTTGTGGGGACAGGTCTGTCCTCTTCGGCCTGTGGAAATGGTTGGATAATGGCTTCGAGGACCTTTACCTAGATTTCAAAAAATAAAAACTGATGTCATCAGGGTTATATGAGATTAAACTTGGGGACTTCAAATGAAAAAGAACCTGCATTGCAAACTGAAGATGTGCAGTTTGAGTTTACAAGTAAAATAAAAAGATGCTGTGCGGTTGCATTATGGGAGAAGTAGACAAGAATTTTACCACTCTTCACTGTGGTTTAACAATCCTGAGATTGACCTTTTTATAGTCATCTTCTTGCTTTAAAATCTTGCAGAAGAGACAAACTGAGAAAAAAGTTGATATAGAAAACTGCTAGTGTCCAAGTGAAATATGAGCCGACACCATGAAGGAAGCAAACCCAGGTATGTTTTAATGAGACAAACCTGTTGCATGGAAATAACACTGAAACATTAAAAACTAACCTAATCCAAACACCTTTCCATACTGTGGTTATCGGATTGCCTAAATGCTGATTTGGCATTTAAATGGTTTGGAACACTGTGTTGTCCTCAAAGGAGAGACAAAAAGCAAATGACTGTTCATGGGTAAAACTGATTTTGTTTCCTATCCAAATCACACTGAGATTTAATGTTTATAAAGATGGAATCTGATCATTACACACTAGCAAATAAAACATTTGACTTATTGAAGCTTGTACCATAGCCAGAGGAACAACCATGTGGTAATCAAGTGTTTATGTTGCCTTCACATCCTAAGGACTGGATGGATGATACAGTAAAGCTTCCCATATTTATGACCCGTAAATGGGCATTAGACATTGCACTGGCTGACTTGAGACAGTAAAATGGTTAAACAATACTCTGTCGATTACATTTGGTTTCATGACCTTCAGCATTATACTTAACATGTGAGGCATTTGTTTGGTTTCTCAGGCACTTCTGTTCTCCATATTTTGCATGTTTTCGTGCCAACATCTTAATGCAAATCAAACAAGTTTGTGAATAGTTAGTGTTTTAACACTGCCATGTCCAAAGTCTTGCCGCCAGGGTGGCGACAAATAGGATTTGTCATATTTATATGCAGTAATAAACAACTAGACATTCATACTGGCACATTCAAAACTCATTTGCTCAAAATGGAAAACCAAATGCACCTTCTAACAACTCAGAAACTGACTTCCTTGTTGCATTAAACACATGTAGAAAGAACTATTAAAAGAAGGGAATTAGTGATATAAGCATTAGGTTACCATGTTTTCATCTGATTGGTGAAATGTCAAACAAGAGCTTTTCCCAGAATGTCACCATTGTTTCTTAAATCTCACAGATTCCTTCACTGGAAAACACACATTTCCAATAGTTCCTATTAAGTCTGGTTTGGTCTCTGTACTACATGTGTGTTAAGATGAATGGCACCTTTTTTTCTAAAATACAAATCCAGAGCAGCCTTCACTGAGCTGCCTGTGGGCAAAGGACATCACAGGAAACAGCAAGGAGTGGATGACTGATGCAGACGTTGACAGGAAGTCTGACGACCTGATAAATAGGCTGTCAGCTTAAAGAGGATTTCTGCTGAGTACAGAGGAGTCCCTCTGCAGATGAGGATGAGTAGCGTCCCTCATCTTCATCCTTTTCCTCCTGTTCCACTCTGCGATTCTGTCTGGGTTCTTCCACCAGCAGCTTCAGGCAGCTCAGGTGATGCAGTGCTCTGAGGATGAAAATCATCATCAAACATCTGTTTTCTGACATACCGTTCTGAACTCACACTAAACTGGAGACAGACCAGCAGGAAGGGCTTGTCAGGAAATCCGGTTAACCCATAATGCCATCACAGTCAGAGTGAAACCCAAACCCTGAGAGCAAGTGGCTTTGTGAGGCTTCACTTTAAGGTAAATGTTTAAATGTCACAACATGAACCCGCTTCAATGACCACAACGACAATACTAGCAAACTGATGTTTAGCAGGCATTTTATTATCTTTCCTAACCTAATATAGCATGTTAGAATGTGTTAACATCTGTTAATCTGTGCTATTAACACAGTACACAAACACAGTAAAGTACAGCTGAGGCCGTATATAATTTTATGCCAGTCCATTTAGAAGCTTTGGAGCTATTTCACTGCTGAAGTGACAAGTTAGAACTGACACTGTTGTTAAATTCAAGAGATCGCTAAAATCATTACTGTTCATTCTCTGGGGACCATGAATGTCTATGCCATCAATGGTTGTTGACATGTTTCAGTTTGGACCAAAGTGGTGGACTGACTGACCTTGTCGTCCCTAGACCCATATCAGACTCTAGTACTACAGTCCCAATGTGCAGATACTGATCAGCAAGTCAGTGTACACAGTCATTCTGATGTGATCTGACTCATATCTGTGATGCCATCTCTGTGAGTTACCTCTCCAGAGACAGTCCACCAGATAAACCCTCCAGTTCGAATTCACCTTCAGGCCCCTGCAACACAAACACATACATGTACTGTAACCTCAGACTTGTTAACATTCTCTTGTATGAAACAACACAAAATGTATTCCTCACAACACAGATGAATGTTGACAGCAGAGTCCTGAGGTGTGTTCAGGAGCAAATGTCTAAATGATGTATAAAATTTACTATATTTAAGAAAGTATATGACAGGAACTGTCCTCGTAAGCAGTATAAAAACAAAAGAAATTACAGTGGGAAACCGTGGATGAGTAAGGGATTACAGAATGCATGTAAAAAGAAGAATGCGTTATATAAGGAATTCATAAAGGACAGCTCAAAGAAGGCGGAAGAAAAATATAAGTCATATAAGAACAAATTAATTGAGATTTTGAGGAGATGTAAGAAAC